TTTTTTTTTATGTTGAGGTATTAAATTAGAAAATTCATTAAATTCATAAGTTATATCACGTGTAGCCTCTGAGGATCCATCGTCATCTGACGACGTTTCCTGCTGATTAACCCCTTTTAGAATAGAAAAACCTCTTCTAAAACACAAGATTTTCTTATTTATCTTATCTAAGGGTAAACTTAAAATATAAATAAACTTGATGTAAGGTGATCCCAGCAAACAGTGATATCATAATTGATTAACTCACGTTAATCAACGGCTATGTTTAACCATAGTGGCAGCGTGTATTAATGCCGAAACGGGTGTAGGCAAAACGGTTGATTTATGCTATATGTAGATCAATGTCTACACTAATACGGCACAAATACTCAACAACTCACGTTATTGTTCGGACTATATCATCAATTACATTATTTGTTTATGAATTTAATTTTATCTTTTATGATTTCTATACCTGATTCAGTTAAATGTTTTTTATCTTTAACCAGATGATATACTTTTAACCATCTCAAGTATGAAACATGTTTTTTAGTTTTAAGAGGATAATTGTGTAAATAATTTAATATTTTATTAAGTTTACCAAAATTAACTACAGTATTATAACCATCATAGCTTTTTATATGTGTTACATAACCATCTATTAGGTTAGCAAGGAGTTTACTAAATTCCACATCATCTTTTTGAGAGATTACGTATCTTACAGTAACTATATGTTTACCTGTTTTACTTAAATAGGCAGAACTAGTGAAACATCCTTCTGCATCTGTAAATCCAGATAATCATGCATTACATAGATTTACTTTTTCATTTGATTCTATATGTATAATATTCGTTTTATATTTTAAATTAAAAGCTTCTAATCATGATTTAAACTGAGATTTTTTATTTTTAGTTATTAAGTTACCATTGAATATATTTATTATTTTTAAAAGATTATCTTTATCTCTAACTCTATACTGATGAGTTTTGTTTAATTTGCTTTGTACTGTTACGGATCCAAAGCCTAATTCTTTTTTAATGTAGAATAGTACTTGTGCATCTACGCTAGATTGTGTTACTTTAAACACTAAATAACCTCTTTTGTCTATACTAAATCCTCCATCTCCTTCAGCAAATCCTATTAACCATCCTTCAAAAATTTTTTTATAATCTAATGTAATTGCTTCACGTGTAGTCTCTGAAGAGCCCAAATTATTCATGTGGTTTCCTGCGGATTGTCCCTCATTCTGGATTTTTCCGAAGCTTACAAAGTAAACAGTGGACCATAATATAAAAACGGGATGTTCCCGCATATAGTGAAGTTTAAGGAAGGCCCTATTCAAACCCTCCATCGCCATAGGTAGTCATACGTGAAGTCCTATTTGAGAACTTTTAGCCATAGCTCCAATTAATAAACATATACCTACAATAGTAACAACATTTTCATTCATGTATGGAGCTAATGAGAATACAGTTGCATAATCTAAATTCAATTTACTTATAGCCTTTCAGCTATAATTGGACTGTATCTTCACCCTATATATTGATCTTTAGTTTCTTAAAAAAACAAAAAGGGTGTATAACGCGCAGTCTCTGAGGATCCTCGATATATACTATGTATATATTTAATGTTTCCTGCTGATTGTCCATTTTCACTTATTAAACAATAAGATCTATTCATTTTAATGTTTATGGTCTGTGTACGCATCTAAAAAGGATGTTTTCACAATATCCTATAAAATGACTTTAGGAGTTTCCAGCGATACAGTTATATAATAAGGGTAATATCACTACTGCCCACGGCAATTTATTTAAAATGTAAAGAATCTAAATGTGAAAAATTAAATTGTTTCCTTTTACTATTAAAATTATTTTTTATAATTTTTATCTTATCCAACTTCTCTTTAGTTAGACCTCCTTTATTAAGATCTTGAACCGTACATCAGTCTTTATATGCTAGATACTTAGAAGAACGTAGTGGGAAGTTATCGAAATATTTACGAACAATTTCATGACTTCTGGAGTTATGA